TTTGTACGTGGTCCTGAGAATTGAACCCAGTGCCTCACACATGCTAGGCAAGCACGCTACCACTGAGCCACACCCCAGCCCATAATTCCTAATCATGATTTGTAGACACAAAAAGTAGACTGATGAGAAAAAGGGAAAGAAGGTCCTGGTGAAAGATAGTTTAAGGAAACAACCTAATTCTAGCTTAAATAAGACACTAGGCTTGGGGCTGGGGTTGTGGCTCAGTGGTAAAGCGTTTGCCTAGCATGCATGAGGCACTGGGTTCGATTCTCAGCACCATATACAAATATTAAAAAATAAAGATCCATCAACAACTAAAAAATATCTTTAAGAAAAAAAGGAAAGAAAGAAACTAGGCTAAAGAGTGAGAAGATGCTCAAGAAAAATCTATAAGGCCAAAGAGCAGATGATTTAGAGGTTAGAATTAAGCTAGAAGCTCTGAACATTGTAGTTAGAATGAAGTTGGAGTTTAATATTTTGAGCTGGGCATGGTGGCACATGCCTATAATCCCAGCAGCTCAGGAGGCTGAGGCAGGAGGATTGAGTTCAAAGCCAGCCTCAATAACTTAACAAAGTCGGATATGTGGCTCAGTGGTTGAGTGCCTCTGGTCTCAATCCCCAGACCAAAATCAAAAAAGATTTTGATTTGATCTGGAACAGTAGTGCACACCTATAATCCCAGCAACTCAGGCTGGGGCAGGAGGATCAGAAAGTCAAGGGCAGCCTCAGCAACTTATCAAGGACCTAAACAACTAAATAAAACCTTGTTTCAAAAACTAAAAGGCCTGGGGATGTAGCTCAGTGGTAAAGTACCCTGGGTTCAATTCCCAGTACAAAAAAAAAATGATTTTAGAGTTGGAATTCTTCAGTGTAATAATATGGGCAATGGAGATGGGTGTTTGAAGTAAAGTAGGAGTTTTAAATTACTAAGAGAATTCTTAATATCCAGCTGTGAAGGTAGGTGGCTCCTATATCTGGTTTTGCACTGGTCTTGTTAAAAACTGAAGTTTTTTACAAAAGGAAAATAAAAGTCTGATTTAGAAAAAAATTATGGAGGTTAGAGAGTTGGATCAATAAATCAAGATGTTTAAATGAATCCAGAATTTTCAGGAGTGGGTAGGAGATGAAGCCAAGTGCCAATACTGGCAAAGAAGTAACCAAAAATAGCAGAGAATCTAAACAGTTTGACCTGATGAAATTAACTCCAAAACAGAAAGGGCCCTTGGAAGGGCTGAGGGTTAGCCCAGTAGTAGAGCACTTGCCTAGCACATGCAAGGCTTTGGGTTCAATCCCTACCGCCACAAAATATAAAAATAAACATATTGGAGGAACAGTGGTCTGAAAATGATACCAAGAGGCTGTGTATCTCAATTCTCCCACTTTTTGGTATAGGGGGTGGAGGAACCCTTAGGTCAGCCAATAAATCAGTGTACTAGGAGAAACCTAACTGTAATTTGAATAAATATGTTGAGGGGTAAGGGGTAAGTATCAGAGAAATGAGGGGACCAAGGATGAAAGTATAGGTGAGTGGGAAAGTTCTGCATTTGGGGCACGGTTCAATGATTATAAAGATGGAAGATAGGCCTGGTGTGGTGGCTTGTGCCTGTAATCCTGGCAGCTCAGGAGGATCGTGAATTCAGAGTCAGCCTCAGCAATTTAACGAAGCCCTACGCAACTTGGATCATAGTCTCTAAATAAAAATATAAGAAAGGCCTGGGGATGTGATTCAATGGTTAAGCATCCCTGGGTTCAATCCCCTGAACCAAAAATAATAAGATGGAAGATATCCAGGCATCGTGGTGTACACCTATAATCTCAGTGACTCAGGAGGCTGAGGCAGGATTGCAAGTTAGAGGCCAACCTCAGCAATTTAGTAAGACCCTAAGTTGCTTAGCAAGACCCTCTCTCAAAATATAAAAAGGGCTGGGGATGTGACTCAGTGGTAAAATGACCCGGGTTCAATCCCCAGTACAAAAAAAAAAAAGGAAAATAATTGTGCAATGAAATAAAATAACGTTAAGTTTCCCAACTTTGGTTTAAAAGTTGTCTCCTCTGCCATACTTCTTTCAAGCAAAAACAAAAAGAGAAGCAGAAGAAATTCAAAGAGCTAAATTAATTTAAGGCCACAGGGAATGTGCCCCTGGCCACAGCTGAAATTAACAAAACTAAAAAAATAAGCTATTCCTTCTGCCTGAGATGATGGTGACCCTTGATTTCATTCCTATTTAAATATCTAGATTCCTTACCACAATAACTTTTGCCACTTAACATCTAGAAAGAAGTGTTGTCTTGGAGTCTTACACATTTAAGAATAAAATTTTAGGCTGGGCACCTGTAGTTCCAGCTACTCAGGAAGCTGATTGGGAGGATCATTTGAGCATAGGCGTTCAATACCAGCCTGGACAATATAGCAAGACCCTGTCTCCAAAAAAAAAAGCCGGGGGGTGGGGGGGTGCTAGGGTTGTGGCTCAGCGGTATAACACCAAGCATATGCGAGGCCCTGGGTTCAATCCTCAGCATCACATATAAATAAATAAAGTTAAAAAAAAAAAATGCTAAGCATAGTCTCATATGTCTATAATGCCAGCTACTCAGGAGGCTGAGATAAAAGCATTACACATTACACAAGTTCAAGGCCAGCCTGGGTAACTTAGGAAGACCCTGTCTCATGTCTCAAACAAAAGGGCTCGGGATGTAGCTCAGTGATAGACTGCTTGCCTAGCATGTGTGAAACTTGGGTTTGATCAGGCCCACTTCTCAGGGTGCTGGTGGTAGACAGGTCAAGATTCCACCTCTGAGAAGACACTGCAGGAAAAAGATAATAGAATATTATCTTTTGATTACAAAGAAAAGTAAATAAAAACAGAAGAGGATCCTTCATTCACTCATGTAACATTTACTGAACTATCATATAGCAGATACTTTCTGGATTCAACAATAAACCGAGTAAAGCCTCAAAACCAACAAATCAGGAAATACAAAGCATACAGAAAAGTATTTTGTATAGCTTTGAAGGGCCTTTGAATTCTACATTCCTCTGCTCTTGGGTTTTATAGTCTGATCCTGTGCTCAGATGCAATCATAGATCAAACTGTCTTCAATGACTTCCGACCTCTACATTCATAATCTCTTCCTCTCACTTCAGGAAGGAAACAATGTCCTTTGCTACATCTTTCCTTAAAGAGATAACTGACCTAGAATTGCTCTTGTGAAAGAAAGGTGGTAGGTCTAGGTAGAGCCTTATTTTCTGACTCCCCCATAACCCTTCCCTTTGTATTTACCAAAAGGCTAAAGCTTATGTAACTGACAAGGACAGGATTCACTGTGTGGTTTGGGTCTGTGAAACCCTAGGGTACAATTCCAGAACAATGGGAATATAGTGTCCCTTAGAGTTATATAAGTGGGTAGCGTTCAGCCTGCTTTCACAAGTTATGTAATCAACCAAATATCTTAGGCTTGGCAAAGTACCCTTTTTCTTTTCTTTCTTAAAAATAGTTTTAGTTATAGAATGGACACAATAAGTTTATTATATTTTTGGTACTGGGGATTGAACTCGAGGGCATTCAAACACTGAGCCACATCCCCAGCCCCATTTTGTTATTTTATTTAAAAACAGGGTCTCACTGAGTTGCTAAGCACCTCACTTTTTGTGTGTGTGGTGCTGGGATTGAACATGTGTGCCTTGCTTTTGCTGAGGTTGGCTTTGAACCCTCAATCCTCCTGACTCAGCCTCCCAAACCACTGGGATTACAGACGTGTGCCACTGCACCTGGCTTATCTGCAGCGATTTTTTATGTGTTACTGAGGATTGAACCCAGTACCTCACATGTGCTAGGCAAGAGCATAAACAGCCCCAAAGTATCCTTTGATTCTTTTTTTTTTTTTTTAAGAATTTTGAGAGAGGGGCTGGGGATGTGGCTCAAGCGGTGGCGCGCTCGCCTGACATGTGTGCGGCCTGGGTTCGATCCTCAGCACCACATACAAACAAAGATGTTGTGTCCGCCAAAAACTAAAAAATAAATATTGAAATTCCCTCTCTCTCTCTCTCTCTCTCCCCCTCTCTCAAAAAATTAAAAAAAAAAAAAAAAAAAGAATTTTGAGAGAGGGGCTGGGGATGTGGCTCAAGCCGTAGTGCGCTCACCTGGCATGCGTGTGGCCTGGGTTCTATCCTCAGCACCACATAGGAAAAAAAAAAACAACAAAGAAAACTAAAGAAAGAAAAAAAAAAGTAAATAAGAATTTTGAGAGAGAGAGAGAGAGAATTTTAATATTTATTTTTAGTTATTGGCGGACACAACATCTTTGTATGTGGTGCTGAGGATCGAACCCAGGCTGCAAGTATGCCAGGTGAGTGCGCTACCGCTTGAGCCACATCCCCAGCCCTCCTTTCATTCTTTTTTATTTTTTAATTTATATATGAAAGTGGAATGCATTACAATTCTTATTACACATTTAGAGCACAATTTTTCATATCTCTTTGTTGTATACTCAGTATATTCACACACAATTCATGTCTTCATAGCTGTACTTTGGATAATAATGATCATTACATTCCACCATCATTAATAACCCCATGCTCCCTCTCCCTGTCCCACTATGAAGTATCCTTTCTTTTTTTTTTTTTTTTTTTTTTAATATTTATTTCTTAGTTTTCGGCGGACACAACATCTTTGTTTGTATGTGGTGCTGAGGATCGAACCCGGGCCGCACGCATGCCAGGCAAGCGCGCTACCACTTGAGCCACATCCCCAGCCCCAAAGTATCCTTTCTTATGTATGTAGTATTAAGATTGAACCCAGGGGCACTCTACCACTGAGCTACATCTCCAGCTCTTTTGTTGTTTTTATCTTTTTGTTTTTGTTTTCACTTTAGGGCTAAATTTTAATAGAATGTGAGTTTGAACTCATACACTAAAACCCTTAAAATTACTGATTGGTTCAAAGTAGTTTTATGGAAAAATTAATCTGTAACAAAAACTTGGCATTGAGTGCGAAGGCTCCACTGTTATTGAGCAAAGCATACAAAGGTTCCAAGGGGCAGGATCAAGAACGAGGGACTTGGACATTTACAGCAGCAGGCATTTTCTCTTCCTCTTCTTGACAGGAGGTGGGCAGAGAACTGCTCGGATAGCTTCATCAAACAGTCTTGAGGCCTCGCTGTGGGAGTGCTGAACACTCCAGGTATTTTACAGCACCAATCTCCTTAGCCATGACTAACTCTTGTGGATAGGTGATGGGAGTCAGCTTCTTCTCCTTCAGTTCCTCAATTGTGTCTTTATCATCCCTAAGATCAAGTTTAGTTCCCACTAGGATGATAGGAGTGTTGGGACAATGGTGTCGCACTTCCGGATACCACTTTGCACAGACATTTTCAAATGATGAAAACATCTGTTTGTGGATAGGAGAGGGGACGCAATCTGTCATAATCTTCTTGTCCAGCTGTATCCCATAAGCCCAGATTCACTGGTTTCCCATCTACCATAACATTGGCAGAATAGTTGTCAAAAAACAGTGGGGATATACTCTCCAGGAAATGCAATGTTGCATAACTGATCAATAGGCAAGTTTTACCTACAGCTCCATCTCCCACCACCATACACTTGATGGCCTGCTTATCTTGTTTTTTGAGACAGGGTCTTGCTATGTTGCTGAGGGTCTCCCTGAGTTGCTGAGGCTGGCCTTGAACATAAACTTCTCCCACTTCAGTCTCCTGAGTCTCTGGGATTACAGGTGTGTGCCACCACACCCTGTGTGAGTACGATTTCTTGAACAAATTGATTTATTTCAGTCTTCCTCATCTCTATCAGTGTCATTACCCTATATCTAGTTTTTCCAGAAATGGACTCCTTCCTTCCTTCCTTTTTTTTTTTGTATTGGGGATTGAACACTGGAGCACTTCATCACTGAGCTATATCCCCATCCTTTTTATTTTTATTTTTTATTTTGAGACAGAGTCTCATTAAGTAGCTGAGGCTGGCCTAGAATTTGAGATCCTCTTGCCCTAGTCTCCCGAGTCACTGGGGTTATAGGAGTGTGCTGTCATGTCTAACTAAAGACTTCTTTTTTATTTCTATATTTAAACCTTAATCTCAAACATGAACTGTTTATTGCTACCTATCTCTCACTTGAATTGCTGTAGTTGCCTCCTAACCGGCTTCTTCTTGCATCAGCATAGTTTATTATCTAAGCATAGACAGTGTACTTTTTAAAACATCAAGCTGGATGTGGTGGCACATGCCTATAATCCTAGTGAGTTGGGAGGCTGAGGCAGGAGAACTCCAAGTTCAAAGACAGCCAGCAGTTTCCAGGCCAACATCAGCAATTTATCAAGACCCTATCTCAAAGAATAAAAAGGGCTGAGATGTAGCTCAGCAGTAGACTTGCTCTGGGCTTAATTCCCTGGTACCACAATAATAATAATAATAGTTAAATAAATATATATCAGATCACATCACTCCCTGATCAAAACCTGCCAGTGAGCCATGTGTGGTGTTGTACACTGCCATCCCAGCTACTTGGGAAGATTGCAAATTTAAGGCCAACCTGGGCAATTTAGCAAGAGTCTGTCTAAAAAATAAAAAAAAGGCTGGGGGAGAGCTGGGTGTTATGGCACACACCTATAATTCCAGTGATTCAGGAGGCTGAGGCAGGGAGATTAAAGTTTGGAGGCCAGCCTCAGCAAATTAGCGAATTCTTAAGCAAATTTAGATCCTGTCTCAAAAAAAAACAAAAAGAACTGGGGATATAGCTCAGTGGTAAAGCACCCCTGGGTTTAATCCCCACTATTAACCAACAACAACATAAAAAGTCTAGAGATATAGTTAGTGGCAGAGTGCTTACCTAGCATGTACAAGTCCAATTTTGCATTGCCAGCAATGCAAAAAAAAAAAAAAAAAAAAGTGAGGGAGAGGTCTGGGATGTAACTCAGTGGCAAAGCATCTGCTTTGTATTCACAAAGTCCATTCAACCCCCAGTTCCAAATAAATAAATAAAAGGCATCTGGGGAGTAGCTGTGGATATAGCTGAATAGAAGAGTGCTCCTAAGTTCAGTCCCCAGTACAGCAAATAAATAAATTAGATAGATGATAGATAACAGATTAAAAAAAAGATGGGGGGCTGGGATTGTGGCTCAGCTGTGGAGCGCTCCACCGCTCACCTAGCACGGGCGGGACCCGGGTTCCATTCTCAGCACCACATAAAAATAAAGGCATTGTATTGTGTCCATCTACACCTAAAAAATAATATTAAAAAAAAAAAGACTTAATGGTGGTAGAGTACTTGCTTTAGTGTGCTCAAGGCCCTAGATTCCATCCCCAGTACCACAAAAACCACCAAACAACAATAACAAAACACCTTCTGATGGCTGTCTATTTGGGATAAAATCAAAATAAAGCCAAATTTCTGGGGCTAGGGTTGTAGCTCAGTGGTAGAGCAAGGCACTGGGTTCAATTCTCAATACCATGTAAAAATAAATAATAAAATAAATGTCCAACCACACACACAAAAATAAATAAATATTGGGGAAAATAAATTCCTTTGCATGGCCTGTAAGATCTTTTGTGCTTTGGTCCCTGCTCTTTTTGTATTTCCTTTCTCTATAGCCACATTATGCTCAAAACACACTTGCTCTTTAAATATAGTGAAACTTATCCAGATGCAGTAGTGCATGCCTGTCATCCCAGCAGCTTGGGAGGCTGAGGCAGTAGGATCTTGAGTTCAAAACGAGCCTCAGCAAAAGTGAGGTCCTAAGCAACTCAATAAGACCCTGACTCAGTGGTCGAGTGTCCCTGAGTTCAATCCCTCATATAAATAAATAAATAAATAGATAGATAAAGTGAACTTGTTCTTTATACTGCCTTTACATTTTGTGTTCCCTTTACCTGTAATGTGCTTCCCCTAGATTCATGCCTCTTCACCATTTTCAGGACTCTACGCTTCCTTGGAGATGCCATTCTGATTATGCTATCAAATCATCCTATCCCCTTCACTTTCTGCTGCAGTTATATGGTAAACAATCATTGTTTTCTTCTTCATTACTTTCTTCCAAGAATGAACATTTCATTAGAATAAGAACTTTGTCGTATTTATTGATAAATTCCCAGCATCAAAAATGGGAATTTGGGCCAGGCACAGTGGCATTGTCAGCAACAAGAGGAATGGTGTTTGGCCAGGTATGGTGGTGCAAACCTGGAATCCTAGCTACTCAGAAGGCTGAGGAAGGATGATTGCAAGTTAGAGGCCAGCCTTGACAACTTGATAAGACTTGTCTCAAATTTTTCAAAAGAAAGTGGAGATGTCACTTGATGGTAGAGTACTTGCATGGCATATGCAAGAAAGAAAGAGAGAGAGAGAGAGAGAAAGGGATAGAAAGGAAGAAAAGGAAAGAAAGAATGGTGTTTGGCACATAAGTGATCAATAAATATTTATGGGAGGAATGAATTGTTCACTAACTTTATAGTTCAGATTAATATGTAAACATTCAAAAAATATAAAGACTTTGCTAATCACCGTGGCACACATGTATCATCCCATTGACTTAGGAGGTGGAGGCAGAATGATTTAAAGTTAGAAGGCAGCCTCAGCTACTTGACACTATCTCAAAAAAAGTGGGATGGAGTAGGGGGGTTGGGGATGTAGCTCAGTGATAAAGCATCCCAGGTTCAATCCCCAGTACCAAGTAAAGAAGAAAAATAAAAAAGTTTGACTTCTTTAAACAGGGTGTGGATGGCAGCAGCAATGGATAAATAAGCAGGAAAATAAAACCTTTAATGAGAGAACATAGACTGTCACTCTCCAAGCAATGCTGTGTCTACCTTTTGGGAAACTTCTACATGAGCCAAATGCTCACATTATCAGCCAAGGGATGGCTTTCTCTATAAGAGGTTAAAATGTCTTCTTGGGCTGGGGATGTAGCTCAGTGATACACTTGCCTACCATGTGCAAGGCACTAGATTTGATCCTCAGTACTGCAAAAGAAAAAACAAGTGTTATTATGACAGTAAGAGAGACAGCATTAACTACTGATAACCACATTGTGGTGGTGACTTCTTCAGGTAAGAAACATTTTGGTATGAATTGCAGCTAGGAGTCTCATATTCCCATGTATTAGTCATGTGATAATTTTTAATGTTCTTTTTATAGTTAAATATACAGTAGCCAGGAATAGTGGCACACACCAACTCAGGAGACTGAGGCAGGAGGATCCCAAGTTCAAGACAGACCTCAGCAACATAGAGATACCCTGTCTCAAAATAAAAAATGAAAAGGACTGGGGATATACTCAATGGTAAAGCACCCCTGAGTTGAATCCCCAATATGGGGATAAAAAAGAATGAAGGTCTGGGAGTGTGACTCAGTGGTTGAATACTTGCCTAGCATGTATGAGGCCCTGGATTCAATCCCTGGCACCACAAACAATAATAATAATGAATAAACTTCAATTTATTGATAGAGGCACTGGATAGTTAAGTAGAAAACAATAATAATAAATGAACTATAGTTTAGTGACAGAGGCACTTAGTATTTAGGTAAGAGTTTTTTTAAACCTTTTCAGACATTTATCATGGATGGGTAATAGAGATTAAAATAAAATATGAACTTGGTAATTAAACTTATTATAATATTTAGATTGAAAATACTGGACTGAATAGAATTTGGTTCACACAATGTGTGAACTTTTCTCATATTATCCATATATTAACAACTGGACTACACCATCAATAAGCATCATTCTGCATTCAGTGGTACATGTCTGTGATCCCAGTTACTTGCAAGTCTGAGGTAGGAGGATCACAAGTTCAAGGCCAGTTGGGCAACTTAGCAAAACCCTATCTCAAAAAATAAAGAGGGCAGGATGGGGGGCATGGGAAGAATAAAGGAACTTTGATTGGGCAAAGCGGGGGAGGGGACATGAGGATAGGAAAGATGGTGGAATGAGGAGGACACTATTACCCTAGGTACATGTATGACTGTACATATGGTGCAACTCTACATTGTATACCACTAGAGAAATGAAAAGCTGTACTCCATTTGTGTACAATGAAGCAAAATGCATTCTGCTGTTATATATAACTAATTAGAACAAATTAAAAAAAAATAAAGAGGGCTGGGAATATAGCTCAGTGGTAGAGCACCCCCAAGCTTCAATCTGCAGTGACTTTTTTAAAAGTGTTTTTAAAGAACAGACGGGTTTCATTTTTTGTTGTTGCTGGGAATGGAAGCCCAGGGACTTGTGCATGCTTATCAAGTGCTCTGCCACTGAGCCACACTCTCAGCCAACAAACATCATTCTTTCTTTTTTTTATACTAGGGATTTAACCTGGGTGGGGCTTTATTTCTGAGCTACATCCCCAGCCTTTTTTTTTTAGGTAGTCTCACTAAGATGCTTAGGGTCTCACTAAGTTGCTATGGCTGGCCTCAAACATGTGATCCTCCTGTATTAGCCTCCCAAACCAGTGGGATTACAAGGGCATGCCACCACACCCAGCTCACACACCATTCTTTCTTTCTTTCTGGGTACTAGGGATTGAACTCAAGGGCACTCAACCACTGAGTCACATTCCCTGCCCTGTTTCGTATTTTATTTAGAGACAGGGCCTCACTGAGTTTCTTAGCACCTTGCTT